AATCTGTCATATATGTACCTTAAGTACCTTTTGCTAAGTGAAATAACCCAGTCCCCAAAAAAGACAAAAACTCTCATTCCACTTACATGAGTGAGGTATCTAAGGTAGTCTAATTCATTGATAGAAGAAAGGTAGTTATCAAGGGTGGCAGAGAGAAGGAAATGAGAAATTGTTATCTAATGGGCAGATAGTGTTACTTTTGCAAGATGAAAAGGTTCTGGAGATCTATTGTACAACAATATTAATATACTTAACACCACTGAACTACATGCTTAAAAATGGTTAAGAGGAACTTGGAATGTGGCTCAGTGGTAGAATACTTGTCTAGCATGTGCAAGGCCACAGGTGTGAACTCCAGCACTATGAGCACACACAGACATAAGCAAATAAATAAATAAATAACATATATTTACATATATATTTAATAAAGTTAAATAAAATCAAACTGTATATCTTAAATATGCATAGCCTACTGTATATCAAATACTTCAATAAAGCTGTGAAATAATTTGGGGCAATAAGAAGAGTTTAAAAAAGCTGCTGGTATGAGATACTGCTACAACAGCAATAGCTTTTTTATATCCCTAAATTACTTTTGTCTTACAGGTTTATAATTCAAAAAGCAATTTCATATGCTCTGCCTCATCTAAATTCTAATATTCATTTAATAAAAACAGCTGTGAAACACTATTATTCCTCTCTAATACACCAGAAAACAGACTTCATCAAGGCTCTGCTAGGGATTTACTCAATGTAAAGCTTACATTGAAACAAATATTCTGACTCCAAGCTAATGACTTTTTCACTCCAACAATGAAAAAAATTCCACTCATAATAGCAAAAAAAATGTAAAAAGTTGGAGAATTAGTTTAAATCACATGTGAAACAAAACTATAGAACTTTATTTGAGGAAAGAGGAGTTGAATAAAATAGAAATCTTATGTATTTAGTTGGGAGTACTGCATTTAATAAAAACAGTAATTATTTTAGGAAACTATAAATTTAACAAAATTCCAACTGGAATCGTTACAGGGTATCTTATAAGGTATTACAAAATGGGATAAAAATCATTTGGTAAATCACAAGTAAAAGGGGCAAGACTACTCAGTGTTGTAAAAGAGGAGGGTGCTATATGTAGATGGATGTTGAATGTTCCCCAAAGGCCTGTGCTAAAGGCTTGGTCCCCTGGGTGGCACTATGAGGAGGAGGAACCTCTGGGAGATGGGGCACAGGTCATTGAGGACTTGCTCTCAAATGGTACTTTAGGACCGCACTCTCTTCCTTTCTCTAAATGCTTCATGGTTCATGAGAAGCAATTTGCTCCATCATGCACCCCTGCTATGAGATGCTGCCCTTGCCAGAAGCAATGAGGCTATCCAATCTTGGACTGAAACCTCCAGAATTGTAATCCAAAATGAATCTCTTCTCTTTAAATTAATCACCTCAGGTATTCTGTTATAGTAACATGAAGCTGATTAATACAGAAGGCTTAGCTTTATGAAATATTATCACACAATAGTATCATAGTATCACACAAATAAATAATAACCAAAATGGGGAGTTTTTGGTGCTAAGAGTGCTCCTACAAACATGGTGATATTCCTAAAACCCCTCTAGACTTCCTTTCAGAAGTGTGTCAAGCACCAACCTCAAAAACTGATCTAGGATGGGTGCAGTGGCACATGCCTGTAATCCCAGTGGCTCAGGATGCTGAGGCAGGAGGATTGAAAGTTCAAGGCCAGCCTCAGCAATTTAATGAGGCACTCAGCAACTTAACAAGACCCTGACCCAAAATTAAAAATTATTTTTAAAAAGGGCTAGGGAGGTGGCTCAATGGTTAAGTGCCCCTGGGTTCAATCCCTGGTACAAAAAAAAAAAAAAAAAAAAAAATTTTCTTGACCTAGTATAAGAAGGGCAAAGATCTGGGTGTGATAGCCCATGACACTAATCTCAGAGACTTGAAAGGCTGAGGCAGAATTGAAAGTTGGAGTCCATCTTGGGCAACTTAGCAAGGCCCTATCTCAAAATAAATTGTCCCTGGGTTCAATTCCCAGTACCTTAAAAAAAAAAAAAAAAAAAAAGCACAGATTCTTTGTTATGCCCAAGGAAAGTAGCATTATGACAGGAAATAGAGGTCCTATGGTGGGTACACTCTGCCAATTTTCCAGAAAAAGACTACAACTACAAAGAAGATCATGCAGAGATTTCAGTGTACTGGACCCAAGTGCAGACCTAAGAAAATTCTGACTTTTAAGAGATAACACATATTTTGCATGAAGAAGAGATAAGAGAAAGAGCTAAGTGATTCTAAGTTTCATCTTTTGTTTTATTAGGGATATAATATAATCTTGAGGTTATGTTCAGTTCACTTGGAAAAAAAAATAGGGGATGTTGAGTCAAAAATAAAAGCAGAAATCAACAGAAAATCCAAAATATAGACTATCTGTGTATGCAGCATCTCTTAATTTTTCACACTAGCTTTTTCCTCTTTTATTCCCACCACATACCTGTATCCTTTTCATCTTTCTCATTCCCATAGTAGAGTCAAATTATAATATCTGTTAGATAATATTCAGTGTTTATATGATTATTGCTCTAATAATTATGAAATTTATAGCAAAGTTAATAATAGATACTATTTTTAGTTTTCATCTCTTTTATAATATTTTGCTTTTCCTCAGCTAATTTTATCCTCCTTCTTCATTTGCTTAATTTTCTGTGTTCTTGTAATTAATTGGTGGTAGAGTGAGTGCATGCAGAGCATGTGTGAAGTCCAGTACTGAGAGCCGGCAGCGGGCTGGAGGTGGGGATGTTCTTATTACTATATTATTTTGTGTGGCTTTTTTTTCTTTTCAGTCCTAGGGACTGAATCTTGGGTTTTGCATAGACAAGCACTCTGCCACTGACTACTGTACCCTGGTCATTATGTGACTTTTTCTTTTCTTTTCAGAAGCCTATATAACTTTTTTTTTTGTCTCCATCAGTCTTGCTGGGCACAGTGGCACAGGCCTGTAATCCCAGCAGCTCAGGAGGCTGAGACAGGAGGATCTCGAGTTCAAAGCCAGCCTCAGCAAATGGCAAGGTGCTAAGCAACTCAGTGAGACCCTGTCTTAAGTTAAATACAAAAATAGGGCTGGGGATGTGGCTCAGTGGCCAAGTGCCCCTGGGTTCAATCCCTGGTACCAAAAAAAAATAAAATTTAATTAAAAAAAATCCAAAATCCATCAGTCTTAAATTTCACAAAAACAAGGCTTGCTGTGGATTTATTTTCATTTATTATGTTGAGTCCTGTATGGGAAATTTGTGTCTTTTCTGATCTGGTTTTTTGAATTGTTATATTGATAATATCTAATTTTTATTTTTTTGTCTCTCCTTTTGGAACTCTTAATATTCTGATAAGGGACTTCTTGTTCTGACCCATTGTTTCAATATCTTATCTCTCATATTTTTAATTTGTTTTCTTGTTCTTTTTTTACCAGAACTTTCTCAGATTTATCTTCTAGTCATATGGGTATGTAATGAGAATGGAAATGGGGGAGGAAGAAAACAAATGTCTCATCTTTGATAGTAGAAAATTAAGATATACTGCATGATCTGAAAAATTGAGTAGAAGTAATATAATTCCTTGGTTTTTCTGTGTCAAAGTTGGCCATAAGGAAATTCTCAAGCCAGGAGCAGTGATACATACCTACAATCCTATCATCCTACCAGCTTAGGAGGGTGAAGAAAGAGGATTCCAAGTTCAAGGCCAGCCTCAGCGACTTAGTGAGACCCTGTCCCAAAATTTAAAAATTAAAAAAAAAAAAAAATTCTCTGATAATAAGATCCCCATTTCAGATGGAGTCCATCAGGAAGGAATGCTGCACAGAGAGGCCAAGAAGAATCTGAACAAACAAGCCTTGCCGGGTATTCCCTCTCGGTCTATTAGCATTAGATTATAGTATTTTTGTACAATTCCATTTTGACATGGTTGTTTATACTTCAATCATGCCCATGCAATAAAAGTTACCACAAAAGCCCAAAGGAGAGGGTTCTGGGAGCTTCTGGACTACGGAATACATGGAGATTCATAGGGAGGTAAACAGAATATATCCATGTGCCAGGAGGGGGTACACTCCAACTCAGGAAGATGGAAGCTTCTGCACTCCACACCTTTCCAGACCTTTCCAGATCTTGCCCTGTATGTCTCTATATGTCTCTCATTTCATGCTTACTTGTAGCCTTTAAAATTTCTTTATAATAAGCCAGTAAATGTTAAGTAAAATGTTTCCCTGAGTTCTGTGAGCTGCTCTAGCAAATTAATCAAACCTGAGAAGGTGGATGACCACCTACTTATAGTTGGTTCACAGGCCAAGATTTGTAACTGGGTCAAAAGTGAAGGCAGACCTGGGACTGAGGCCACGACCTTTGGGATCCTGATATTATCTCCAGGTAGACAGCCTTAGAACTGAGTTAAATTTAACAATGCCCAGCTGGTATCCACTGTAGAATTGCTTGCTTGCTAGAGGGAAGCAATCCCTATTCCTATACTGACTATGAGATGAGAGAAGAGGGAAAACAGGTAGTTTATTTTTCCCACATAGTATATATAATATTGATGAAAAAAATTCTGAACAGAGCTGGGGATGTGTAACACGCTCGCCTAGCATGCACAGGGCACTGGGTTCGATCCTCAGCACCACATAAAAATAAAATAAAGATGTTGTGTCCACCGAAAACTGAAAAATAAATATTTAAAAATTCTCTCTCTCCTATCTTAAAAAAAAAAAAAAAGAATTCTGAACAGACACCTAGCCATAATGCTCATTTTCTGTTGTTTAAAAATTATTTTACCTCTAAAATTTATGACATCTTTTGTAAAATAGGATAGAAATTTTATAAATATAACTCAGACCCAGGAACAAAGTGGCTTACCCAAGGATTCACAATGAATTGGCAAATTACCAACTATAACAAACAGAAAAAGAAACCAGGATTTTCAGGAAGATCAATTCACCCACCTGATGAAAGAAATAGGTAACAGCAAGGTCATTGTCATTTAAGAGGATTTCTTCTTCTGTTGTAAAAAGCCACTTTCGAATAGTCAGGCAGGTGCCTGGCACAGCGGATGTATAATTTTGGACGTAGAGTTTATGAGGAAACTCATTAGGAGCCAGCTTACGTACTGAAGAAAAGACAAAACAAAGAAAGCTGATGTAAGGAATTTTCCTAGTATGAACTATGACAGGCAGATCAAGAATGGTATGTTATCATTGACTAAAGCATCAGCTCAATTTCACCAAGGAGCTCTGCCATGGGAACACAAAATAACCATGTATTTAGCTAAACATATCCCTGCTCACTGTAACTATGACCAATCCAGCCTCAAACTGACTGAAATTTATCACTTGAATGGAGGCTCCTTCAGTTAACATGATGACCCCTGTGGACAGCATAAACTCCAAATTGAGTTAAAATACCTGATCCATTATCTGAACATCTTCAGAGCAAGCCTCTCCTCTTACCCAACTACGGGCACTCACAAACTCTCCTGTGGCCATTCTCAACGAACTTTTTATTAAGACCTGAAAAGCTCTTCCCATCCCACCCCTCCCTGAAACCCTAAGGCTTCCATCACAGAAAAAAAGTGTGTTCTGAATAATATTTCTTCTCCCTAACAGTGCACAGCAGGATAAAACACCACCAATTGGGGCTGGGGTTGTTGCTCAGTGGTAGAGCAGTTGCTTGGCCCTGGGTTCAATCTTCAGTACCACATATAAATAAACAAACAAACAAATAAATAAATAGATGTTTTAAAGCCAAATAGACATATTCTTGATGTCTATTTGGCTTTAAAACATTGTGAAAGACAGATTTAATATTTCTCATTTTATACAAAGTGAAACCTCAAGCTAACAAAGGGATAAGATTAGAATCCAAGTATTTTAGTACTCTAGCATCCTAGATATCCTAGTATTCTTTTGTAACATAATTTACAACTTCCTAGTTAGGCTGTTGAGAGTTGGGAAGACAAGTAATAACAGGGACACGACTGCTTTGGAGGAACCAAAGTTGCTCTACCTTGACCAGGTATGGCAAGGCTCCCCAAATTTACCACCCCTTCTCCTGGGATGAGGAAGGCCTGATATTTCTAATCTTAACCCTGTGTAGGATGTGGAAAAGATCCATGAAGTGTAAAAAAATCCATGTCTTTCAGAGCAAGTCCTCAGACACCCTCTTCTGTGTAGTCTCGATGCAATCCATGTGACCACCATCCTAACTTTTATAAAATAAAAAATTCCTGCCATTATGCAATATAACTTTCTAGTAAGAGGAAATTTATTCACACAGAAACTTAAACATAAGCATTAAAACAAAGGCTTTTAATCAATGAATCTCTAACTTCTAAAAACAAAAAACTATTCTTAAAAATCTTTACAAAAAGCATAAAGTATATTGAAACCACATGTGGTTAAAGAGAACTTCCCCTTTTTAAGGCTATTTCAGTAGAATATATGAATTTTGAACCTCTGATTTAGAAGAACCTCATGAAAGTGTAAAAACCTTTTTGTACTGATAACAGAGGCAGAAGAATCAACAGCAATCATGCATCTTTATGACCAGAACTAACTATCTACTGGTTATTGTAGATAGTTCTGATGAGTGGGATCTCGCTTATCTTCAAGCTATTTTCTATCCAATGGTATTAGACTAAAATACCCAAATAAAACAATATTAGCCACTAGCACTTACCAAAGGAATGATTGATCACTTCAAATAAGGCAAAGTAATTCACTGTTGTACTGTCCATGCCAACCTTTGCTGCAATAGCCTGAAGTTTAAGCAGAAGAGAATGGTTTCAGGAAAACTAAATTAGACAATGCAAGCATGTGAACAGGGGAGTGGGGAGAGGGCAGCCCATTTTGGTTTCATAAAAACTATCTGGTTCAGAGTTATCTTTTTATTTTGTACTTATTTTACACTAAGCTATATCCCTAGCCTCCCCTCCATTTATTTATTTATTCATTTATTTATTTAGAAATAGCATCCCATTAAGTTGCTGAGAATCTCATTAAGTTGCTGAGAATCTCACTAAGTTGCTGAGGCTGGTCTTGAACTTGTGATCTTCCTGCCTCAGCCTCCTGAATTGCTGGGAGTATAGTGTATGCCTGTACCACCATGCCCAGGCAGAGCTATCCTCTGTAAGTGTACATGCACACATGTATACAGATATAACAAGGAAAAAAAATTCCTTTATTTAACCCCTTGTGATCTGAGTTTCTCCTTTCCAATACAAGCTAGTAACAGGTTTTTTTAATATCAGTTTTCCTATGAAACATTACACAAAGATCTTCTTAAATATCTTATAAGAAATGTACTAAGTATATAAAAATAAAAAATGTTGTGACAAGAGGCATATTAAACAAAGATCAGTCCTTCTCTCCAGGAACTAAGGTCTTAACATGACAAAAAATAAATCGAAAGATCCCATGTGCAATAAGTGAAAATTGAAATTACATACAAACAACAAAGCAAAAACTAAATAGTAACAAAATCCCTTTTTAAGATCAATCTTGATATAAATAAGGTATTAACTTAACAAGATAAAACTGCTGACTATTAGTACCCAGTAAAGCAAACATAATTATATCCCTTCTTCTCCTATCTGTTCGAATATCAAGCCTAAGTTCATCACTGATGTGTTATGGGAACTGGGAATTAAAATACCATTTTGTACTGAACTGAATAGAAACCGAAATGCACTCAAGGTTTAGAAAATATCTTCTAGTACTAGCACAGGAGAAAAAGTATTTAAAAAAAACAAACAAACCTAGGCCTAAATATTTTGTGATATGTGGACACTAATCCACAATGGGGGTTGGGGGGGTGGGACAGAGGTAATTTGGGCTAAACAGAGGGGAGTGAAGGGAGAGGAGGGGGCATGGGGGTAGAAATGATAATAGAATGAATCAGACATAATTAGCCTATGTGCATACATGATTACATGACCTGTGTAACTCTACATCATGTACAACCAGACAAATGAGTAGTTATACTCCATTTATGTATGATGTATCATAATGCATTCTACTGTCATGCATAACTAATATATCAAATTAAGAAAAAAAAATATATAAAAAACCTAGGCTTAAAAAATTGAGAAAAGCAAAGAAACAAAACAAAGAAGCATTTTCTTGGCAATTACTTCATCATTGTATAATTTTCAAAATTGCCTATTTTTATTTTTATATATTCTACATTTGTCCTTTGTCATGATATACAATAGATGAATAAATGTATGAGAAAAATATATTTTTGTTTGCTATAAAGGAGAAATAAGCACAGATACCCAGAAGCCTGCTTGTCTCACTGAAAATCCTGATAGTTAGGTCTAAAGGCATACAAAAGGCCTACAAGCAAGGATTATATCTAGCACATGATCTTTAAATACCATTTCTCACTAAAAAGAACCAAGATTCCTTAGAGAAATGACTTGTTATAGATCTAGGGTAAGAAATGTATGAAGATGAGCACAGAATATCTTGTTATACCAAAAAAGAAAGAATGACATCATAAATTAATGGATTGCATCAAGAATAAACAGTTGCAGGTATGAAGGAACATCCACTGGCCAAAAATGAACTCGTTTGCCAGGCACGGTGCCTGAGCCTGTAATCCCAGCAGCTTGGGAGACTGAGGCAGGAATATCCAAAGTTCAAAGTTATATTCACTAGCAAGGATCTCAGCAATTTAGTGAGACCCTGTCTCTAAATAAAATACAAAAAAGGACTGGGGATGTGACTCAGTAGTTAAGCACCCCTGAATTCAATCCCTGGTACCAAAAAAAAAAACCAAAAACCCAGAGGAGCATCAAAGAAATAATACATGATTAAATCACAGCTAATTTAAAAAATAAAATGTGGGGCTAGGCTGTGGCTCAGTGATAGAGTGCTGGCCTGGCACATATGAGGCACTGGGTTTGATACTCAGCACCATATAAAAATAACATAAAGGTATTGTGTTGTGTCTACCTATAACTAAAAATATTTTTAAAAAATTAAATGCAATGTGGATGCTAATTCACAATAAAGAGGAAGCTAGGGAAGAATACAGTTACTTTAGATTAAGTAGAGGGGAATAAAGAGAGGGGAGGGGGTATAGAGAAGGAAGCATAGTAGAAAGAATGAGACATTACTACCCTATGTACATTGATGTATCCATCAAAGTGCATTCTACTGTCATGTATAACTAATTAGAACAAATAAAATAATCATAATAATAAAATAATTAAATAAAATGTAACAATCATCTCATTGGACATCATTGGAATCAAGTAGGGTCCCAATTCTTTACACTGAAAATTGTCAATAAAAGAAAAGAATTAAATATTTATCCTTTCCCACAAACTGCATTTAAGATAACTAAACAATCTTAGTTGCTAATGAAAAGATATGTACAAAAGAACTTTAGTGACCTAGAGCAGTGGTGCACACCTGCAATCCCAGGGGCTCCAGAAGCTGAGACAGGAGGATCGTGAGTTCAAAGCCAGCCTTAGCAAAATCAAGGATACTAAGCAACTCAGTGAGATCTGCCTCTAAATAAAATACAAAATAGGGCTAGGAATATGGCTCAGTAGTGGAATGCCCCTGAGTTCAATCCCTGGTACCGAAAACCAAAAACCAAACAAAAAAAAGAACTTTGGCTATATAAAGAAATGAGATAATTAGAAAACCAGAACTATGTAACCTTTATGAAATCACTGGTTAAGGCAATAATTCTGGACTCACTCATCTGATAAAAGAACAATGGGCAATTTTACAATGGAAAAATCAGATTACCACTAAACCTACTGATTATTCTTGTTACTACTAAAGTGGGATAACCACATATTGTGTACTGTCTGTTGAGAAGTAATGATAATATATTACACTAATTATGGTATTTGTATCAAAAATACAGAACCTGAAACTAATCAAGCCACTAGAACAAAACTCATTTATAGAAAATATAGAAAGAAAGAAGGACATATTAAATGACACTACTAGAAAACAAACAGATAAATTCAGAATGTGGGACATTCCACAGTACACTGATCCAATTTCTGCAATAAAATAATGGTGTGAAAAAGGTTGGGGAGGCCAAGGGGACTGCTCTATATTAGAAAACCAAAAAACAACATAAAAAGAAAACCAAACAAACATGTATGTCAAATGTGATATAAGAACCTTGTTTAGATCCAGATTTTTAACAAATGAACTGTAAATATTCACTTCAGATAAATGGAAAAATCTGACTTTGGAAAGAAAATGGTGCTAATTTTTTAGGTCTGATAATGTTGTGAAGAATGTTCATATTTTTTAGATGTATACTGAAGTACACATAGGTCTAATAATATGGATTTTGCTAGGAACCCTTAAATGTGAAGAAAAAAAGATATATGGTAAAAATGTGGCAAAATCTTGATAATTATTCAACGTAAGTGGTGAGGACTGGGAATGTAGCTCAGTGGTAGAGCACTTGCCTAGTATACACAAGCCTTGGGGTCAAACCATAGGACTGCAAAAAAAGGAAGGAAGGAGGATTTTTAAAAAGAGTATATGGATGCCAAGTCCAGTGGCACATGCCTATAATACCACAGACAGGGGAAGCTGAGGTAGGAAGATCACAAGTTCAAGGCCAGCCTCAGTAACTTAGCAAGACCTTGTCTCCAAATTAAAAAAAAAAAGAAAAGAAAAACCCTAAAAAGATAGGGATGTAACTCAGTGGTAAAGCACTCACAGATCCAATCCCCAGCACCTAAATAAATAAATAAATAATATAGTATAGTATATGGAGAATTTTTACAATTCTATTTTAATATAAGTAAAAAGAGTAGTAAAATCAAAAAAAGGAGGGACATTAGCTCCTATACCTTGGGATATTTACGTACTATTTTTTCAAGAAGGGCAAAATTCTTTTACATTAATAACAATAATTTAATAAACTGATTATGTGCCTGACACTCTATTCACTTCATATGTATTAATTCATTTAATTTATGTTTCTTAGTTTCACACTATCCAATGTCAGATCAATGTGTTCAAGTCTGACTTACCTGATATACTTGGTCTGTAGTACTGTTCTTTTTAACTCTGACGGTAACTGTTGTTCCATCTGGTAATGCTACTCTCAGCTCTACATCAGACACACCATTGTAGTTCTGGAGAAAAAGACACAGAGAAAGAATTTATGACCCAGTATAAATCCTCACTCTCCCTGTAACATGTTAGCTAAACAATAGACATGTGATGGAGAGGAAGTGAGTTCCAATAAAAGGGGAAAATGACATCTTAAAAGTCAATATATTTACAAGTCGTAAAACTGACTTCAGGCTGCAGCAGAAGTTAACCTTTAAGATGAAAAGGGAAAAAAGAAGCATATTGAAGTCAATGTGTTCACATTTCAAAACAGATAACCGTGTGAAGCAGTCTAGGTCAAACACAGATGAGATTTTTGGTTCACTTCTGTCACCCATTCAGAATTCACAAATAAGAAAGAAAATAACTGAAAGCAGTAATTCCAGCAAATATTCTCTGGTCTTAAGGGTTAAGAATATAGTCTGGCTCAAAGGGTATCTATCCTAACTTCCTTTCTGAACTCTGAAATAATCAAGACAATTTTTAAAAATATTTTTATGTATTGTTTTTTATTATAGATGAACATAGTTTGTTTATTTTTATGTGGTGCTGAGGATTGAACTCAGTGCCTCACACATGTGAGGTGAGCGCTTTACCACTGAGCTACAGCTTCAGCCCCATTTTTAAATTTTTAGTTGTAGTTGAACTCAATATCTTTATTTTATTTATTTATGTTTATGTGGTGCTGAGGATTGAACCCAGGACCTCTCATGTGCAAAGTGAACGCTCAATCGCTGAGCCACACACCAGCCCGTAATCCGGACATTTTTAAAAGGAAAAATGGGACTCGGTTTTGAACTAGTTTAATGCCCAATTTTCTTCTAGCAAAGAGTAAACAATTCTTATTCTCTTTATTTCAAAAGAAATACTTACGGGGGCCGGTGGGGTGTGTGTAGCTCAGTGGCAGAGTGCTTGCCTAATATGTGTGAAACCTTGGGTTTGATCCCCAGCACCAAAAATTTAAAAAATAATAAAATAAAATAAAATCACCTCATATGATTTTGATGACAATCTGTTTCTTTTAACAAATGTTTGACCTTGTAATTTTTTTAAAAATATTTTTATTAGATTTTGATGGACCTTTACTGCATTTACTTTTTTATATTTGGTGCTGAGAATCGAATCCAGTGCCTCATGCATGCTAGGGCAAGCACTCTACCACTGAGCCACAATCCCAGCCCTGACCTTGTAATTTTTATTAGAGAGAAATAACTATTTAGCAATCAGTCCATCTTCATTCACCACTTTTTAAAAAATTACTATTCATTGCCTAAAACATCCCAAGAATTACAGTAGTCTCCGTTACTCCCAGTGGATGACAGAAGGATAATACTAAATCCTATAATGCCTTTTCCTTCTTCATTATTCACTTATCATGCACTGTGGTCATACCTTTTGCAGTTTGAATTGCCACCTCAAAACTAGCATGAATTTTTCTTCTTCCTTTTTTTCTGCTACCAGGGATTGAATCCAGGAGTGTATAACCACTGAGCCACATCCCCAGCCCTTTTTATTTTTCAATTTTGATACAGGGTCTCCCTAAGTTGTTGAGGCTAGGCTGAAACTTGTGATCCTCCTGCCTCCACCTCCCAAGTTGCTGGGATTAAGAGCATGTACCACCATGCCCAGGTTAGCATAAATTTCCTTTTCCTTCTTCATAATTGATATCTTTGATAGATGATTCATTCTTACCCTAGACCTTAGCAACCTCAGGATATGATTTTTAAAAAATGTTTCTTATTGTGAAGAACTTTTACCTTTCAAACTTAAAGTAAGCACTCTATGACTCCTTTTAGAGATATCTGAGTTGCTAGCATCACCACTCCTATAAAATAAGGATTACTTGCATATAAGCACTGTGATATCCGGGCACTCAATCTGATAATTTACCCAGCTCCTAAGTGGCTCATAGGCGGGTGGCATATACAGAGTGCATATGCTAGACAAAGATGATTCAGATCCCAGTGGCACAGGCTTTATCATGCTACTGGGAATAGCACACAATTTAAAACATTTGAAATGTTTGTTTCTGGAATTTTATATTTAATATTTTCAGAACATGGGTGACCACATGTAACTGAAATTGTAGAAAGCAAAACCATGGATAAGGGGGACCATTATACTTAATTATAAGCCCTTATCTAGAAGACATTCAAGATCTAATTGGAAAAAAACAAGGCATATACATATGAAATAACTAGTGAATGATATATTAGTATTACATATTCATTCTTCTACTCAATATTTATTAGGCACCTACAACATGCTTGAGGCTGTGGTAAGGTACTTTAATATAAAGATGATCAAGATTTAGCTCTTACCTACAGGTAGCTCACACTCTTGTAAGCTAAAAATATAAAGTGACAAACTGATTATATGTATAAAAATTAGAGAATGAGATAGCAAGAAGGTAATAACTGAGTGGTACTGACTGCAGAAATTCTTCATGAAATGAAAAATTGATGACCTGAGTCATTAGAGAAGGCTTCAACGAGAAGGTAGACCTGACACCAGGTCTTAAAGGATAGATAAGCAAGATATGTATGGAAAAGAGGTAAAAGAAATAGTCATTTGGAGAGTTTATTGAAATCCAACCCATAATTGATATCTTTGACTTATTTTCCCCCCTAAGGAGCTAAGAGGAGAACAATTATTAAAGTGGGTATTCACCTACCTCATCTGACTCTGACAGGAACTCCTGCATGATGTCACTCTCACCAATGACTCGTATTGAACACACTGGAGAAAGCAAAGACAGAATCTAGCAAAAGGCCCCAAAATCAATAACATAAGATCAAGAACATAGCAAGATTTAAATTCAAATCATTAGTGACAAGCAATGAGAAGGCAGCATGTACCCTGGTGTATGAGATTTTTAAAAAAATATTTTTTTAGTTACAGATGGATGCAATATCTTTATTTTGTTTATTCATTTTTATGTGGTGCTGAGGATTGAACCCAGTATCTCACATGTGCGAGGCAAGTGCTCTGCCACTGAGCCACAACCCCAGCCCCCTGATGTATGAGACTTTTAAGGCATAACATATATTCATCTAATTATGATCTAGAACAGAAGAATAATAGAAAATATAAAGTTTTACTAAAAATATTAAACATATCAAAAAAGAAAAAATTAAAATACAGTAAATCTACTGAGCAGTCTTATATGACCTAATAATATCCAAAACAACAGAACATGAGGGAAAAGAATAATAGAAAATATAAAGTTTTGCTAAAAATATTAAACATATCAAAAAAGAAAAAATTAAAGTACAGTAAATCTACTGAGCAGTCTTGTATGACCTAATAATATCCAAAACAACAGAACATGAGGGAAAAGAGGCAGTGGAAGAGAAGGGTCAATTAAGAATAAACCAAATAAAAAAACTGAAACACTAGAGGAAAAAATATCTATTTGGCCTAGGAACAGGTCAGAGAACAATAAACTTTTAATTGAGTATTAAGCTGAGCACATCATTTCACCTCAATGACGTTAGCTTCAAAACAATAATTTTTAAAAAAAGAGAGGAAGAGCAAGGGAGGGAGGGAAGAAAAAAGGGTGGGAGAGCAAGGGAGGAAAGGAGGAGAGAAAGCAGGCATATAGATAGCTAATCGTCTAAATCTAAGAAAGTTAATTTCCTGACACTCTCAAGAGGATGGTAAATTACACTGATGATTTTACTTCATTTGATTAAAAAAAAAAATGCACCCTTTCTCATTTCCCTAGGGCTATGTTGGAGAGGCCAGTTCATGTTAGGAAATGCTAAAAACAGATGAGGAGTTCCATTACCTTCTGTGGGGGAAATGATTTTTCTTCAGGGATAAGGATCCCTACCAAAGTTTTAAAAAAATTCAAGTAGGTCAATTAGTTCTTACACAAGGACATTAGGACACAGAATTACTAAACTCACAAATGGCCATTATTCTGTTCAACTAATATTTTAAAGCAAGACCTACTACACAGCTAGAAAGTAAGGTAACTCTGTAAGGTAGCAAGGCAAGGCCTCTTCTGTTTTGGAGCCACAAGGTGAACTACCTCATTGAGGAGACCTGTGTCATTTCTCTGCCTTTCTAGAGAAACAAATATTTTGACATTCATATCCATAGACTCCCAATGTATCACTTGGAAGTTCTGAGATAAAAACTTGCAATAATTCTGCTTGCTTAGAAGGGGACTTTTGGATTACTTCAGCAAATCTACCCATGAATACTTGTAAAAGGAATAAGGCATTTTCATGTAGGATATGCTAGTGAAACAAGAGTCATTTAAATGAAAACATCTTAATACTGCTCACTTAGTTCCCAAATTAATTTAGTATATTGATACATACATTTCTACGTGTTTGCTGGCAAATAGTATGATCCTATAAATAAGGTCCATTAAGGACCATCAATGCTTCAAAAACAAATTATTTGTTTTTCTGTTGTTAAGGGCTCAATGAGCCTTTAAAACAAGCTACTAATCACTGTGCTGGACATTTCAGTTTTCAAAGCTCAGATCATTCAACTCTCATAGTCAGAAACTTGACTCACTTTGACTACTGAGCTTCAAGAAACAGCCATGCAGTACTGGAGTTGCACTATCTATACTAGAACTTATGTCTATTCAGGATGGTAGAGTTTAATAGGCTAGCTTACCTTTTTCTAGATATTCTTCCAACCCCCGACGTCGAGCATCTAACTGCTGTTCTGATAATGAGAATGGCCACTTTCCTGGAAGTCGAGGGAATGTAAAGTTGGCAAACTCTCTCTTCAGGTTCTGGTGTAGGATGGCAAACTCCCGGTACCGCTTAGAACACAGCTGCCTCCCTGCCATGTAAACATTGTACACCTGGTGAGGGAGAAGAACAAAGAAAAGCCTACTTACTATAAATTAAATCACAGAATCATCTAACATCAGGCTCGATGGATATTGTTTAGGTGGTATTTCTATGCACTTAACAGAGACTATGTTAGAGACCATTTTAAAACAAGACTTTTTAAAAAATATTTGTTTTTTAGCGTAGGTGGATACAATAACCTTTTATTTTACGTGGTACTGAGGATTGAACCCAGTACCTCATGCTTGCTAGGCAAGTGCTCTACCGCTGAGCCACAATCCCAGACAATTAAAACAAGACTTATTTTTAATAAACATGCCAAAAGCTATATGTACAAAGAGAGCTACTATCTTCAAGGAGGATATGATCTTATTTTTGAAGATAAAATTACCTCCATTATAATCTTAAACATTTTCAAAGGCAATTATCAATTTTTAAGCATGGATAGTATTTTAAGAAAATTAGAAGTTTTTCAAAGCCATACAGTGTCTGTCCCCTCAATCCTATCTTCCTGCTTCCCTGATTTCCAAGCTATCATATCAACCATGTTCATCAATCCCTTCCTTTTCTTTCCCTCCCTCTTATTCTGCCCCCTTTCTATTTATTTTTTCTTTAAGACAGGATCTCACTATATTCCCAGGCTCTGGGCTCAGGTGATCTTCCTGCTTCAGCCACCTGAGTAACTGGAACCACAGGCATATGCCACTGTGCCTGACTGCTTTTCTTCTTATGGTTGTTGCTTTATTTTTGCATTTATATATAATTCTTAAATTTTTATCTTTTATTTTAGCTTTTACAGGTATTTTAATTCTATAAAAACAGAGTATCATGTTGAGAGTTTGGAGATTCTAGCAGGGGAGCACAGTTACTGAAGCTGTCTTTTTTTTTTTCTTTGTTCTAATTAGTTATACAAGACAGCATAAGGCATTTTGATTTATCATACACAAATGGAGCACAGCTTTTCAGTTCTCTGGTTGTATATGATGTAGAGTTCACCATTTGTGCAATCATACATGTACCCAGGGTAATGATGTCCAACTCATTTCACCAACCGATGCAGTCTTGACCAAAGAGCATCCCTTCTCTCTCAGGGAAGGTCATCCTCTTCAACTAACTGAAGATAATAAAGTAGCTTCAAGAGGGACACACATGGAGTGGTAAGGGGACAAGGGGACAGCTGTCAGCCAGCTCAGTCAAATCAATCCTGGCAACCAATGAGACAGCCAGATCGCCCTTACAACCCAGAGTACCACAATGAATGAGATGGAAGATGGAAGAAATGACGAAGATATTAACACTGTGGATGTAGACTAATGTAAAATGCTAAGAGTAAATCCCTAGACATTAGTCTACATCCACAGTGTTAATATCTTCGTCATTTCTTCCATCTTCCATGGCATTTTGTTGTATGCATACATCATATTTCTTTCTTTTTAATCGGTTCTCTGAATGATGAGAGTTGGGTTGTTTCTGACTCTCTGCTATTCATTGTGAATAATGCTGCCATATGCATTTGTATACATGCTTCCTGCTGTACATACAGAAGAGATATTCCTAAGTACACCACCTGAAAGTGCAACAGCAGGGTTAAAATATATATGCATATGCTACTTCAGGATATTAATGTCAAACTGTAAGCTAGAGTGGTTGCACCAATTTATTTCCCCTTTCAGTAGTGTATAAAAAGATCCTTTGCTAATGAAGGGGTGTGAAAAGTTACCTTTGTGGTCCTAACTTACATTTCCTTAGTTATTAAAGATGCCAAACATGTCTTCCTACATTTATTGGCCACATGAGTTTATTTTTTGTAAAATACCAATTCATGTGTTTTACCTGCTACATACTGGATATTTGTGCTTTTCCATGTATTTGTTGTTTTTCTGTTTGTTTGTTTTTTCATTTTGTTTTTGACAGAGTCTTGCTATGTTGACCTGGCTGCTCCCAAACTCCTGGGCTCAAGCAATCCTTCTGCTTCAGCCTCCAAATAGTGGGGACTAGGCATACATCACCATGTCCAACTCTATATGTTCTTGACATAATCTTTTTCAGTTATGTGTATTGTGAATATTGTCTCCAACTTGTCACCAGCACTTTCAGTTTATTTAAAAGAAATTTTGAATTTTAAAGATCTCTTACTTTAATAAATAGTTTAAATTTATCAATCTTTTTTCATAAATAACTGTTGTATCTTAAAAAAATTTTTTCTATCACCAAGATCTAAAAGCCACTCACCAATATTTTCTACTAAGAGCTTTAAATTTTTTATTTTGTCATTTAAGTCCCTAATCCATTTGGAATTAATTTTCCTATCAAATATAAAGTAGTGTTTCATTATTTCTTTTAAAGTCAAGAATATTTAAAAATCAATTTCTTTTTAAAAAAATATTTTTTAGTTGTAGACAGACACAATACCTTTATTTTATTTATTTTTATGTGATGCTGAGGATCAAACCCAGTGCCTCACACGTGCCAGGCAAGCGCTCTACCACTGAGCCACAACCCCAGCCCTAAAAAATCAATTTCGAATTGAATTATCCCTAATTTAGAATATTCTGTTTTTACAAGAAAATCCCAATCTGGAAACTTCCAGGTGGTCTGTAACTAACCTCTCACCATAAACAAATAGAAAACCAGACGCAAAACAGGAAATAACTATTTTTCAGACACTGGCAACAGGCATCTAAGAACTATGGTCCCTGAGAAAATAGAAACAAGCAGAGGCCTACTATATATAATCTTAGCTTTCTGGTTAGAAATAACTTTTAAAGCGTATCTCAGGGAGGATCACCCAAACTGAATTTGGCAACTTCACTAGGTTTAATAGACAGACTGGAGTTCAAGGAGGCCAAAGTAGCTAGAATTACCAAGACTGAACATACAAGAAAGAGCTAAAGAGAGGAAGAACTCAAAAAAAATCCTCACTGGGTCACCTTGAATTCTGACTGAATTAACAACCTAAGGAAAGAACTATTATGGGGTAAGGGACTGTAAATGAACAACTCTCAGAGTTCCAACAGGATTATGAAACCATTCAACGTTCCTCCAACCAGAATAAAAACACCTCCCTAAATCTGCATGGAATTCATAAGGGGAACTCAAATAGGCCATGGTTTAGGGGCTAGCTAAATTAATTCTAGAGAAAAACTACTCTAAACTATCCTAAAAGCTTAAAAATGAACACTGAAAGGACCAGAGTAATCTGTAAGTAACTTACTGCATGCCAGGAAAAGAAAAAAAAAAAAATCAAACTCTCTTCAAAGGAATATAAAAAATCTAGGGCCAATGTATGATAGCAAACAAAAATTAACAGTAAAGAAGCAAGAAAATTTGACCTGTAACCAGGAAAAAAGAGTAGAAACAGACTCAGAAATGAGAGAAACAAAAAAGTTAGTAGGATTGGAGATGTAATTCAGTGGTAGGGCATTTATGAGGCCTTGAGTTCAGTCCTCAGAACCAACCCTGACAAAAAAAAAAAAAAAAGGCTAATAGATGAGGACATTAAGCCACTCTCAGTCTGTTTCTGCTTCTGTTTGAGATTTAGAAAGCTGAAAGAAGAGCACTTCCACCATAGGCACAAGGATACATCCCACTTTTATGCAAGTCTTTTCCATGGGCTTCTCCTATGCTCACAAGAAAGACTAAATAATACAAAATATTCTGTACTTCTAAGGAGAGACAAGAAACCATTATTAGGTCCTGGTTCCCATACTGATAAGAAGAGGTCAATTATAGCCGGGGAGGAAGTAGAAACTCTTTTCCAAGAGAACCATACATACAAGGATGTGACAGTTTAGCTACAGTAAGGAGAAAGGGCAGAAGAACTAAGAAATAGAGACACAGACTCCACCTTAAACTAAAGCTAGGCTAGACAATATCTACCTCTACCATGAAATCTAGCCAAAATCAAAACCAAGAACATTCTACCAGTGGCAGGGGATGAGAATATGGAGAGATAATTTGTCTGTGGTACAGGCAATGCAGCTGAAAGCTTAGGGAGGGGTAGGTTCAGGAACAGAGAAAAATCCTCTAGAACCCCAGCCTCAACTCTAAATACCAGGTGATAGCAGCCTACAAGAGGAACTTGAAGCATGGTGCAATAAAGACAACGACAGCTCCAACGAGACCCAAACCCAGCTCAATTAATTGACTCAATTCCCTAACAGAAAAGATCTGCCCTTTTCCAGATTCAAATACTATTTCATTCTCTACTATTCTACACATGATGTTTAGCAGTCAACTATATATTACAGGACCAAAAAAAAAAAAGCAAGAAAACAGAAATCCTACATGAGATATATATCAGTCTCAAAGATGATATAGGTATTGCAACTATTAGACTTTAGACAGTGATTAATATGTTAAAGAATCTAATGGAAAAGGTGGAAAACATATGAACAGATTAGCAAATACAAAAATTAGAAGCAAATATCAAATGGAAATATAGAAATAAATGTATGAGAAATGAAGAATTCCTCCAATGATCTCATCAGTAGACTAGACACAGCTAAGGAAAGAATCAGCAAACTTAAAGACAGTCAATAAAAATGAACTAAACAGAACTAAACAGAAACAAAAGAACATCCAAAAGCTCTTGGACAGGGCTGGGGCTCAGTGGTAGCGCGCTCGCCTAACATGTGTGAGGCCCTGGGTTCGATCCTCTGCACCACATAAAAATAAAATAAAGATATTGTGTCCACCTATAACAAAAAATAAGTCAATAAAAAATATAAGCTCTTGGACAATATCAAATAGTCTAATATATTTGTAACTGAAATCTGAGAAAGAAAAGAGAATAACAGAGATGAAGAAATATTTGAAGACAGACTGGCTGAAAATCTCCCCAAACTAATAAAATATATCAAACTACAGATTCCCAAAACAGAACAAATACCTGTTTATCCTGTTTTATCAAGAAACATCCACTATACACATTAAAAATCAAACTTATAAAAACCAAAGATAAAGGTGGCAAGAAGGGGTCAAAATATTACATAAAGAAGATCAAAAATTA